CTCCGCAATCCACAATGATGGGAGTTAGGCTCTTTCCTGAGCTGTGCGACTCTTCCCTCAAGGCCACATTTGAGAAGCACCCAGCCCTCTGTGAGCCATCCCTGGACAGCACTGGGTCCAGAGAGCACTGGACCCATAGCGGATTCCCAACACATCTCATTGCCACGTTGCTTTTCTCTGTGTGTGTGTTTGGGAAGAAGTGTATCCCCTCCTCAGCACCCACTTTTTGTTCTGTGCATCAGCACTGTTTATTTTTCCTGAGTGTTCTTGGGGAATAGCAGTGGTGATGAAGAGGAGCATGTGACCCACTGTTAGTAACATCTAGTTTAGTTCACTTTTGTTTGTTTTTTTAGTTTGTTAAGATACCTGTCTCAGGTCAGGAGCTTTGAACATGATCTTTGGCTCTAAACCTGCCTCCCTGGGCACCTGAGACCAGGGCAGTGGGTGGACAGCAGAGACAAGAACTCGGCTGAGCAGGCCAATCTGGAGGGAAGGCAGAATTCCACGCCTGTGGCATGGAGACCTTTGTGTGTCAGACACCTCCCTCGCCCCCTCTACTTTGCACTGGGCCATAAGATGCTTTTGTAGTAGGACTTTCCTCTTCAGTGTCACCCAGCCCACAAAGATTTCTTTCACAGCCCGCAGATGCCTCCCCAGTTACCAGGGGAGATTGAGAAGCATTGACGCTGCTGCAGATGGGAGGGCCTGCTGCACCAGGCCAGCTTCCAGGAGAGGCCCGGGGAGGGGAAGGTGGCGCTCGGGGTAGGCTGCTCACCCCTCTCTGTCTGGGTGTCTTTCAGGAGTCATGGCCGGTTTCAACATGGGGGGTGACCTCAGGGAGCCTGCTGCCAGCATCCCCTTGGGCTCCCTAGCAGCTGTTGGCATATCGTAAGTTCCCCTCCTGGCAATCAGCTGGAGAGAGAGAAAACTCCTGTGAAAGAGGGAATCGCCCTTTTTGTTCTGAGCATGCCCTGACTGTGACCAATCTATTTCATATTCCAATCCTCCTTTTAACACTCAGCCAGCTGGAAAATTCACGTCTGGTGGGTTCAGATGATTGCCCTTTCCTACCCCCTGCCTGGGATGTAGCCTAGTTGCAGAGGAGTGCCATTAAGGAAGACAAATCCTTTCTTTCCTCTTTCCTCAGCCTCCTGCTCCTCCCTCCCCCCATCCTTTTTGAACTTGGGTATTTTTTAACCATTGAGTCTCCAGGATCGTTGGTGGGACCATAAAGATAAAGAATTTTGTAATCAAACAAATCAGAATTTACATTCTATCTCAGCCTATGATTGTCTCTCTGAATCTCCATTTCCTTTTCTGGAAAATGGACATAATGAGGACAGGTGGGTCTCGTGGATTGTGGAGGAGACAGTGTGTAAGGCACATACTAGCGACTCAGAGCCTCCTTCCCCTTTCCTAACCCAAGACTACCAGACTTCCTAGGTTTTAATTCACAGTGCGCCGTCCACACTAGCAGGCTGGGTGGTCTTGCTCTGTTTCTGACATTCTAGAACCTTCTGTCACAAACAGAATGTTCTCTGCCATCATCTGGTAGTTGTTGCATTCATAACCATGCTTTCCTAGCTAAGACAATGACTTGAAACATTAAAAGGACCTCTATTATTTTAACCGTGTCATTTACAAAGTAGCAATACATCTATTTCAAAAACATTGATCTTACTTTAAGCTTATTGTAATGGCACCAATTTTTTAGTCAGGCACAAAGTACCAGTTTATTTTGTCTTAAAAAGGTAAATATTCTTCCGGTAGGGAAGAAAATGAAGACCACAGAAAGGGAGGTGTTGGGAAGGAAAGAAAAGAAGAACACTGTCTCATTTTGGTTGAGAGGTCGTAGAAGAAGCTTTGGCCCATTCTCTCACTGCCCAGATGGAAATGTGGCCACCAGGGTCATGGGACTTGTTCAAGGTCATAGGGCATTTGGGGTAGAGCCAGGTCACTGCTGGCCTTTTTACACTTGGCTTAGCTCTCTATCATCTGAGATCCAGGGAACAGCGGGACTTAAAGGCCCAAAAGATCATCAACTAGTTGTCTCCATTATAATGGGCAGTGGTGCTCTGGTCAACCATGACCTGAAACCTGGCAACCAGACCAGCTGGGCTTCCACACCCCACCCCCAAGATCCTTTGTTTTCTTTTTTAATGTAAGAAAGAGACAAAACAATGATACTTTGAGGGGGGAGGGAAGAAATCTGCTAGCAGAGAAATGGTACTGAAGGTGCCCCAGATGAGCTAGTGATGTGTCGTGGTTGGCCTTTCTCTCTCCTTTTGAGACAAGTCCTGGTGGGAATCCAGAGGTCGGTGCAGTGGGGGTGGGAGGGGTTGCTGAGGTCAGATGGCAGCTCCACTCTGCTCTTGGGTATTTTGCAGGTGGTTTCTGTACATTGTCTTTGTCTTCCTGCTTGGTGCCATCTGTACCCGAGAGGCCCTTCGCTATGACTTCATGATAGCTGAGAAGGTGGGTAAGTCCTGTGTCGCCTGAAGGCCTCAGACTGCTGGGTCATTTGTTTGGTCCAATTAACAAATGGCTGCTTTCTGCCTTGCAGTCCTCCCTGGGATTTCATTTAGTCTTGGGTCCAGGGCTGAGGTTAGGGGCCTCGGGTTGGGGGAAAGACAGAAAAGATACAGGTTTTTCCTAGGGATCTCTCACAATAGGCAACAATGCCTGGAAAGACACATGACTAAAAATGGACACCCAGCCATCTTTTCATGTGGAGAATCAGTATGGAAACAAGGAATCTGCTCCCCCCAGCCCCCAGTTTAACAAGCCCTACATTTTTGCCACTGCAAAATGCTGAAAGTGTGCTCACGAGAAAGAAGGAAACTGATGAGTGGAAGAGACAGCAAAGGGGGTACAAGGGCCTGGGGACGCAGGGTTCCACCTTGTCTTTTCGGCCTCCAGGCTCTTCCCATGGAATGGCCTGGGTTGATTTGGCTGTAATATCATTGTTTCTAGAACCATATACACTACCCTGGAGAAGGTGAGTGAATTCTTCACATTCCTCTACTGCCCTTAATAGACTAGGGTCACCTGGTAGTCAAGGACAGCCTGTTGGTATCTCTAGAACTCAGGAGAATAAGATTTCCAGATACTTGTCTGGAACAACTCCTAACTTCCCATAAGTTCCTGTAGAAAAAGTAGGCCCTAGAAGTCTCTTACTATTTATCAGAGAAATGTAGTAAGGTAATCTGTTTCTCTTTCTTAGCTCTAGAGGCTCACTGCTCATATCTTAGGACAATGTTCCATTTTCTGTTGGTGTGAGCTTTTGGCAAAGCTGCTTTGCTCAACTGCATAAAAGGGCTGTGCTTGGGGCAACTTAGCACAAGAAACTTGGAATTACGTGTTAGAACTACACTGGTTTTATCACAGGCTTCTTGTATATGTGTAGACAGTGATGTTAATGTGATGCCTGCCCTTACTATGAAACAGGTTTGTTTTATTTATTTATTTTTTTTAAAATATTTATTTATTTGTGCATACAAAACTGGGGTACAGGCCAGAGGCTCAGGGGCAGCGAGAGGCTTCACCAGAGACAGAGTGGGGAGCAGAACAGGCAGATCAACAAAGTACACTGCTGAGGGGAGCAGCGGGCAGGCCAGGAGAGGTCTGCCGCGCCATGTAGTCACCTCCTGGGCAGGCGGGAATCGAACTCATGCGGAAGTGGCTTTAGCTTCTTAGTGCTGTGCTTTAACCCGCTGTGCCACCAGGGAGGGCCAGGTTTGTTTTATTTTTAAAGGACTTATTTGTTGATTCATACAGAACTGGGGTACAAGCCAGAGGTGCAGGGGCGGTGAGAGGCTTCACCAGACTGAGTGGGGAGCAGAGCAGGCAGATCCACAAGTATACTGCTGAGGGGAGCAGCAGGTGAGACAGGAGAGGTCTGCCAGGTGGATCACCTCTGGGGCGGGGGATTGAACTCCACTAAAGTGGTTGTGGCCAGCCTGCAGTGCTGCGTCCTAACCTGTTGCACCACCAGGAAGGACCTTGAAACAGGTTTTGAAAGGGGGTGCAGTTCAGGTAGTAGGGCCACAGCTCCACCTTTTAGGGCCCAAGGTTTCTGATCCCTGTGAGCAAGGTTTGTTCTCAGGGGAGGACTCTGTGGCCCTCATTCATACCTACATGCAGTGCTTTCCTCTTGAATTTCAGCTCCCAGGGGCCGTTTTCTAATTGTGGAAAGAAAGGCTTGGCTGCATTAGAGGAATTAAAGGCCTCAGGGAACAGCTGATCCTTTGACCAGGGGAGCTGCCTGCTGCTGTCTGCAACTTGCCCAAAGCCAGCCAGCTCTGCTTCTAAAGCCGATTTCTTTTTAGTAGATTCTCTCAAAGAGGGCCTTTCAACCATTAGGAATTCTGATCTGGCTGAAATGAGGCAAACTCTCCCGTGGTGGGGCTCCTCTCTCCCCTCCTCCCCTGCTTTGCAGGGGGAACTAAGAATGGGTGTGTGGGAAGGCAGGCAGCCTGTATCCAAGGAAAGTCACAACAGCAAGAGGGTGAAAACATCCTCAGACATGGCTCAGGAGAGCTTCGTGGGTGGAAATCCCTCTGTAAAAATAGACACGTGACAGGGAAGTGCGTTTGGAATGCCACCTGTCCCAGATGGGGGAATGGGCAGGCACACACTTAGCGGTTTGGGGGCACCTGCTAAACCATGTCTGGGAATAATACACGGGGATATAATTATACAGCTAGGTTTTGAGAGGACAAGAGACTGTTTCCTGGAAGAAGGAGTCATAAAACCCATAAAGAAAGGAAAGATATTTTTCATGGTTCTTAGCAAATCTGGACTGATGAAGCAAGACAGTGAGAAGTGACAGAACCAAGCAGGTCACGTCCAAAATAGTAGCTCCCTGGTGTGCTGCTAACCCCCTTTCTACCTCTCAGCCTCCACCCCCAAAACCCTCCCTGGCTTTTCTCCTTTCTAGCCCTCCAACCTCCCTCGCTAGAACTGATGGGACTGAAGTAGTAGTCAGGCTGTATTGACTGCTCAGGTGGGAAGTTGGGCCATAAACTATTGGCTAACAGCACCTGGAAGCTGGGAGAGTGCAGTGAGTAGGTGCAAGCTCCTTTACCTGGTCACCTGACACAACCTTACACCTTGATGTGATTTTACCAAACAGTTCCTGTCAGCTTCATCTCTTAGCTGTCACCTGGATCCTGAGACAGCCGCTCTTGGAGATTTCTGGGTCTGCGGAAGCAAGGTTTCCGGTTTGGTCTGAGTGCCCTCAGGCTTTCAACTCCAGGCTTAGTGCAGACCCAGCCTCCAGCACACTCCCCTTGCTGTTCCTTAAGGCTCATAAAACTCTTCACCATACTTCCCACTTGTGCTTTGACACTTTTGGTCAGAAGGATTCTCGTGAATGGTTGCTGACTGTCCTGGATTCCCTTTTACTGATGTGCCTCTGACTTGTTGGCCAATTTATGGAGTGAGGGCAATGCTGGAAAACTTGTGTCTGTGGGAATAGGATGTGTGAGAAAACCAGGAGACTACTGAGACATTGCTGTGTTCACCCATTTGGAGTTTTCAGGGTTTTCAAATGTATGCCTCAGTAATGTCAAGGGGGCACAGGGATTAGATGACGCAGAATGAGCACCTCTCAAGTAATTTTGTATCCAGTTTTCAAGAAAAAGGAGCTGCTGGGGAATAGATACTCATTACAGGTTGAAATGGGAACTTGTGTAAAATATGAGCAGAGAGATGTAATTCGTGATTTTTAAAAAAATCAGTAGTTACTAAAGAGAAAATCAGGGTCGTTCACACCCCAGATAATATTTTAGAAAGAACTTTTTGTGATGATTCAAACAGGTGTGTGACAAAAAGACACTCTTTTTCCCTAAAGAGCTGTTGACACACATCTGCTCGAATAAATTCTCACTTCTACCTCCACTGGCACAGTCTACAGTGCCAAACAGTTACAGAGAAAATGATTAAATTTTGCAAGACTTGAAAGCAAACCTGGTAGTTTACCACTGCACCAATGATTGCCCTGCCCCTAGACCTGTGCCAGGTAGACAGCCTGTCCTTATGAAATGCTCCTACGCATATGGAGAGATACAGAAGGGAGAGTCAGGATTCAGGTGGGAGAAAGATAACGAGGAGTTCTTGTAATTTATGCAAACATAAATTAGCATTTCACTTATTTTTCAGAAAATGGCAAAAAAAAATTGATATAAGAGAGAGTCAAGTGAATGAGCAATTGTATTCCCTATGGACCCAGATGAGGGCTCACTAGGGAGGGGCAGGGATTCCTGACGGTGGTGTGACACAGGAGCTTGTCGGTAGCATTGACCCTCAGTGACCTGACGCCAAGCAGAACATCTGTACCTTCCCTTCCTCTGTCTGCTGGGCTGATGTATCACAGATCTCATTCACTCGTGTCATTCGTTCCGCATTTATCTATGTAGGTATGTTGGCACCCATTATGAACCAGACAGGAGTCCTGTGGAATAAAGCCTCCAGATGTGTAGAAAACACACTGTGATAGGTGTTCCCCAGTCTCACCCTGTGGGGCTGCAAAACCCTGAGGAACATCCTCTGTTGGGAGTGAGGTTGGGGATTACCTGTGGAAGAGGGCATAAGACTTGTGTTGTCTTGAGCACAATTGTGACTTAATTATTGTTATTATTTGACAAGCAATGAGTAGACTAGAAGTGTAGACAGAGGGTTCCAGCAGACAGGGAAATCGTGCTGACAAAGATTACTGAAGGGTGTATGGGAATGGGGCTACAAAGGTCCCAGACCAGGGAGGGCCTCATATGCAAAGGCAGTGGGGATCTCCTGATATTCTTGCAAGAGGGACATTATGATCAGATTTGAACTTAGAGATGTCACTGTGGAGGAGGTTGGCAGGGGATTAAGACTGGGCAGAATTTGGAGGCAGGAGGCCAGCCAGCACTGTAGTTGACCAATGTTTTTCAAGGACCATCAGCAACAGCATCACCTGGGAGTTTGGCAATCCAAGTCTTGGGCCTTCCCTCAGACCTACTGAATCTGCAACTCTTGAGGTGGGACCCAGGAGTCTGTGTTTTAATGAGCCCTCCAGATGGGTCTGGGGCATGATATCCACTATGTGGTCCATACGAGAAGTGATGGTGGCCACACTGAAGCAGGTGCAGGGGAATGAGCTGGCAGGGCATGGTGGGCATATTAGAAATATATCCTAGAGGTTGAATCGAGATCTAGTGTATAACTAAACGGGGCATGTGTGGGTGGCTGCCAGGGAAGCAGAAAGGGACAGAGCTGCCCCTGACATTGGATAATGAAACCACTTCCTCCTGTAGGTTTCCCTAGTGGGCTTCCTCTTCCTATTGGGCTTGTACATCTCATCTCTGGCCTCCTGTATGGGAGGCCTCTACGGAGCACCCCGGATCCTACAGTGCATTGCCCAGGAGAAAGTGATTCCAGCACTGGCCTTCCTGGGGTTAGGGGTAAGTAACTCTTTCTTGGAGATATGTACATTTTGTGCTGGACCTGTTTATTGTCTTTTTGATTCAAACTACTGGGGAAGTTTTCCAGGGTCTGACGAATAAAAATACAATGGTCATTTCGCTCATTCATGTCCTCTGGGGTCAGTTAGACAAAGTAACTGTCAATTTCACAGGCTCCCAGGACCCCTTCCAACTTGGTCAGCTAGCTGTCTAGGTAGCATTTTGAACACTGCTGCCCAAGAAAGGGAGTACACATCCTCTAGTAAAAATGAGTCGAAATTATAGAACGTTATACATCAGTGTTATCTCAAAATATTATTAAAAAAAGAAAAATAGATGTTATCATCATTGGGGATTTTAACAATAATCTCTTGGTAATGAATTAAACAACTAAGCAAAAAAAATAGACACATAAGTGTTCTGAAAAACAATAAAAATATATTTAGGAGCCTCCAAGTTTTGCAGAGAAGAAGGAATTTCACAATAGGGAGGGGAACTGGTTCTGGAGCTCTATCTCTCCTGGAGACTCACTTCCCTTTGTGGTTGCTTTATGATGACTTCCCACACCTCTGGTCTCTGGGCTCCCATTATTCACCATGGCCCAAACCTTAACTGAGATCGGCTAACTTGACTGAGTCACTGAACAATCAAATGAGACATTCCTAAAACCTAGGGGCTGACAAGAGAGAAACAGAGAGAGGGAACCCTGCTGCTGATGATGGTTGGCAAACTGTAGTTCAATCCTGTTTGATGGGGTAGCACAGAGCACCCCCACACCCACCACCACCTTTCCCAGTGCCAGCTTCCCCCTCCTCTAGGACAACAACGCTGCAAGTCACCCTTAATTCCTTCTTCTTCCTCCACAGTCGACATGCCTTGGTAGAGCATGTCTGGTACATTTCATGTGGCCTGCCTTTTATTTTAATTACATTAATTTGTATTAGGTAATATGTACAGAGTTCAAAACTAAAAGTGGTATAAAAAATATACACTTGAGAATTTTAGCTCGTATCTTGAGTCTTTTTTCTTACCCACACCATTGCTTTATCAATAGCTTTATAATGAATCTTTCTATTGTCTGTTTTTACACATAGTGTTATACATATTGTCCATAACCTTGCTTGTCTTCATTTAATATTAGTTGGAGATCTAGCATTTCAAATGGGTATGGAAAGAACTTTCTTTTCCTCCCCCATTCTGTGGAAGTATCATAGTTTATTTAACCAGTTCCCTATAGACTGACTTTGATGTGGCTTCCAGTAAACAACACTATAAAGAGTAATCTTGTGTATGTGTGTGTAGAATTTTGTATGTGTGCAGATATACATGTATAGGATAAATGTTCATAACTAGGTTTGCTGGGTCAAAGAATACATGCACTTTTAATTTTTTTTTTGCGTTTTTTTTTTTTTTGATAACTTGATAGGGCTTATTCTCCCAACTTTTTTTTTTTTTTTAAAGATTTATTTATTTGTGCATACAGAACTGGGGTACAGGCCAGAGACGTGGAGGGTGAGAGGATTCACCAGAGACAGAGTGGGGAGCAGAACAGGCAGATCGACGAAGTACACTGCTGAGGGGAGCAGCGGGCGGGTCAGGAGAGGTCTGCCACGCCATGTGGTCACCTCCGGGGCAGGCGGGAATCGAACTCTTGCGGAAGCGGCTTTAGATTCTCAGTGCTGTGCTTCAACCCGCTGCGCCACCAGGGAGGGCCAATTCTCCCAACTTTTAATTTTTTTTTATTACAAAGTTTATTTTTACATCATTTTGCACATTTTTTTTTTCCATCTCGATTGTAATCCCCGCGGGTTTCCCATCACCAAATCACCCCTGCATGCACTTTTAATTTTAATGAGTCTGCCAAAGCACCTTCCATATGGAGTCCACGTGTGGGTGTGAAGCCCCCCCCCACAGTACAGTCTGGAAAAGCAGGAAGGTGGTCAGTGAGTTGGAGGCTGTGCATGGCCATTCTCTAGTGAAGAACTTGAGAATTCTTTTTTTTATATGTAAAGATTTATTTATTTATGCATACAGAACTTGGGTACAGACCAGAGGTGCAGGGACGGTGAAAGGACTCACCAGAGACAGAGTGAGGAGCAGAATAGGCAGATAGATAGAGTACACTGCTGAGGGGAGCAGTGGGCGAGACAAGAGAGGTCTGCTGTGCCATGTAGGTCACCTCTGGAGCCTGGGATCGAACTCACACTGAAGCAGCTAGTTTCCAGTGCTGCATCCTAACCGATTGAGCCACCAGGGAGGGCCCAAGAACTCGAGGATTCTAATATTGAATGCTGCCCTCCCCATCATCCTCAATGTATATTATCAAGGAAAGAGGATAGAACATATTTGAGCGGGCAATTTGTTTAATTGACTAGTTCATAATTATAAATATTTAGACGTAGGCACATTTGCTCCCTTGTCCTTGGCATCTCAATGTAGCTATGAGCCTGTCTCCAACTCACTGTCAAATGCAAATTTTCGTATAGTGAGCAATGACATCTTGGGATATTTGTGATTTGCTTCACTCTTGTTATAGACAAGATTGAACATCTTTGCCTCTAAGAGTCATTATTTTTTTCTGTGATCATTGGTCTTCTCAATTGCTACAAGCTCTTTTCTTTGCTGAGGAAATTAACTGTTTATAACAAATTTTTTTTCTAGTTTGTTCCTTCCTTGCCTTTTTTTTTTTTAAGATTTATTTATTTGTGCATACAGAACTGGGGTACAGGCCAGAGGCTTAGGGGTGGCGAGAGGCTTCACCAGAGACAGAGTGGGGAGCAGAACAGGCAGATCGACAAAGTACACTGCTGAGGGGAGCAGTGGGTGGGTCAGGAGAGGTCTGCCACGCCATGTGGTCACCTCCTGGGCAGGCGGGAATCGAACTCATGCAGAGGTGGCTTTAGATTCTCAGTGCTGTGCTTTAACCCACTGCGCCACCAGGGAGGGCCCCTTCCTTGCCTTTTAATTTTGGAACTAATTTTCACCCAAAGCCTTTTTGCACTGATTAAATTTTATTAGCACATTTTCGTTTTGAATGGGACTTGAGGAAAGAAACTTGAAACATTTTAAAGGATTCATTCAACAACTTTGAGATAGTCAATAAAGGCCTTAGAGCCAATATAACAGCTTACAGAATAACTGTAACCTACTTATAACCTTCACCCAAGAACACAGAGAACTCCCAAACACCCCCCTCCACATGCCCTCTCTGGAAGCGCCCCATCTCTCACTCTGTGGTAGTCACCTGCTATCTTGACTTCTTTGACCTTAATGTCCTTGCACTCTATGTGGTTTGCATGTTCACCAACTCTTTCTGAAAAAGGCCAAACCGTCAGTGTTGTAGGCTTTACACACCATATGGCCTCTTCACAACTGTTCAACTCTGTGGTTAAAGCTCAGAAGTAACCACAGACAGTACTTAATGGCATAGGTGTGGCTGTGTCCCATTTGTATAGACATTGACATTTGAATTTCGTGTGTAACTTTCATGTGTCACAACATATTACTTTCGATAATTTTTTTAGCTCCAACAGTTTAAAAGTGCAAAACCATTCTTAGCTGGTGGGGACAAATAAGCAGATGGTAGCCACATTTGGCCTGGGGACAGGTCCTAATTTGCCAACCCCTAGTTTACTTCCTGCATATGCATCTCTAAGCAAAATAGTTTAATTCTGGCTGTTTTTAAACTTTATGTAAATGTGGCATGCCTGTTTAGTGCAACATTATGTTTATGAGATTCATCCACAGTTTTGCTGTAGCAGCAGCTTGTCTATTATTATCCCTACATAGCATTTCCTCATTTGCTACAATTTATGTACCATTCTGCTGCTGATGGACATTCGGGACTATTCTGAACGCTGCAGTAGACTGGTGCACATGAAGAGTCCCTCCAAATTAAATACCCATCAGTGGATTTGCTAAATTGTAAGATATATATAGTATCACTTATCAGACAACACCATTCTCTTTTATTAGTATTTAAATTTGTAGTTGTACCAATTTACCCTCCTAACAGCATTGGATAAGCATCCTCGTTCCTTTATACTCTTGCCAATACTTTATATTAACAGGCTTAAATTTTTGCCAGTGTGCTGGATGTTTAATGGTATCTCACTATGGTTTTAATTTGTGTTTCCCGGATTTTAATGAGGTTGGGCATCTTTTCATATGTTTACTAGACATTCTTTGGCTCATTTTTTTTTATAGATTTATTTATTTGTGCATACAGAACTGGGGTACAGGCCAGAGATGCGGAGGGTGAGAGGATTCACCAGAGACAGAGTGGGGAGCAGAACAGGCAGATCTTCGAAGTACACTGCTGAGGGGAGCAGCGGGCGGGTCAGGAGAGGTCTGCCACGCCATGTGGTCACCTCCAGAGCGGGAATCAAACTCATGCTGAAGTGGCTTTAGCTTCCTAGTGCTGTGTTTTAACCCGCTGCGCCACTAGGGAGGGCCCTGGGTCATAATTTTATTGGGTTGTCTGTTTTCTAATTTTTGGTAGTGATTCTTTGTATTCTGGATACCTTTTGTTAGTTATATATGCAAATGTTTTTTTTTTTTTTTCTATTCTATGGCTTACCTCTTTTTCTTAAGGTGTGTTCATATTTTGACTGTTTTATCACTTTTCAACCCCTCCTTACCACAGTCCTGATCTGAACTTATAGCATTTCCTTCAGCTTACCCAAGATTCTTCTTTTAAGTTCTCATTAATTTCTGAGGATTTGTTTTATTTTTTGTCATTTTATTATTACAGTATGCTAAACAGCTATAGCAAACTACCCCAAATGAATTCTCAACCACAGCAAAAGTTTACGTGTGTGTGTGTGTGTTTCACTCAATTTCCAGGAAAGGTGTTTCATCAGGGCTCTTATCCCCAAATGCAAACGACTTTGCATTTTCATTATTCCTAGTCTAGTCCTCAGGAAGGAAGGACGGAGCTGGAGGAACATACTCGGGAGTTTTATGGGTCAGCTTGAGAGTGGCTTACTTGCCTGCCTCTCAGAGTGCTGGCCATGGAGGACTTGGGGCAGTGCTTATATCCTGGTATCTCCTGTGGGTAAAGCTGACCATATTTGCCAATGCAGAATAAGCCTTTAAGAAGAACCATCAAAATTTTTACTTGGCTGAGCAAATAGGATTGAGGTTCCCTTTTCTGAGGATAGAGAACACTATGGAAGAGTAGATTTAAGGGTGGAAGACTGGAGAATCAACCACTTGGTGGTGGGCATATTAGGTTTGAGATCCTATGAGACACCAACCAGAAATGTTCAGGAAGGGGGTAAATACTTAAACTAGATTTCAGGATAATGTTTTTAGACTGGAGATTCAAATTCAGGAGTTAAGAGCATAAAGGGCCAGCAGCAGAGCCTGAGTAGGAGCACAGTGAGAAAGGAGAGGAATCGAGAGAAGCTAGGTAACAGACGGCTCCAAAGACGAGGGAGCAGTCCCGTGGGTCAAATGTAGTTCAAGGACATGAGGACTGAGAAATGAATGTGCTTCTGGTCCAAGAACTATGACAGTGTCTGTAATGAATAGCTTCTGTGGATTGACAGATTATATGGAGTTAGCGCATTTCCCCCTACTCCCATCCTCCTGAAGGTTTTCATGCCCACTTCTGTTAATAACAGTAGATGTGTGTGTTTTGTGGTGGGATAGGTGGAGATGTGTGTGAGCATGTGTATATGTGTATGTTTTGCATCTGCCACTTCAACCACCACCAATGATTCTGCGATGTCTTCAAGGTCTCCTGTCCTCTTAGGCCATTTTCTGCATGACAGCCTGGAAAGAACTAATTTCACACAGGTTTGATTTCCAAGGATGACATTAAAATTCAAAGAAAAACAAAAAGAGAAGTATTTGGGAAGCTTAAGTTCTATAGATATACACTAGTACTATGATACTCATCCTAATTAGAAACTTAATATCAATACCTTTGATACCCAAGGTACTGGGCGACCAGTCTATATGATTTTTTTTTAAGATTTATTTATTTGTACATACAGAACTGGGGTACAGGCCAGAGGCTCAGGGGTGGCGAGAGGCTTCACCAGAGACAGAGTGGGGAGCAGAACAGACAGATGCGAAGTACACTGCTGAGGGGAGCAGTGGGCGGGCCAGGAGAGGTCTGCCGCGCCATGTGGTCACCTCCGGGGCAGGCGGGAATGGAACTCATGCCGAAGTGGCTTTAGCTTCTCAGTGCTGTGCTTTAACCCACTGCGCCACCAGGGAGGGCCCCCAATCTGTATGATTTTATATGTATTAGCTCTGATCTCATAATGGTCCTATGAGTTGAATATTATTTCCTAAATTTGTAGACCAACAGTTACTAATGTGACAGGTGTCACATGGCAGAAGAGGCCGAGCTGGTGAGTCATTTCTGTGGTCTAACATGATTTTCTTCTGAAATGTCAAGTCCTGCATGTTATTTTTTTTTTCTACAGAAAGGACCAAATAAAACACCGGTGGCTGCCATCTGCCTGACCAGCTTGGTGACCTTGGCCTTTGTCCTCGTGGGCCAGGTGAATATTCTGGCTCCCATTGTCACCATCAACTTCATGCTGACATATGTCGCAGTGGACTACTCTTACTTCTCCCTGTCCATGGGCCCTTGCAGCCTCCCACATGCGCCTCAGCCAGTGCACAGGGAAGATGCAGCTGTTCTCCACTGCTCTGAGCACCTGCTTTTGGAGAAGGCTCCCAGCTATGGCTCTGAGGGTCCTGCCCCAAACCTCTCTGAGGGCACTCTGCTGGAATTCACTAAGGACATGGACCAGCTCCTCCAGCTAACCAGGAAACATGAGAGTAGCCAGCCCAGAAGAGAGGAGAGTGACGGGACCCCAGAAAGTCAAAAGGGAAAACACAGGAAGGCCACCAAGCAAGCATTACAAGAGAGCTTCCTCTTGGACCGCAAGTCCTCTGCTGCTTTTCACTCTGAAGGCTCTGACCAGCTGCCCATTGCCTCCTGGGAGGAGCAGGAGTTCTGCTGGAACGAGCGGAGTTCTAGGAGTGAATGGGCACAGCCTGGCAGGGAACGTGAAGGACTTGTTCCTGAGCTCAACAACCAGTTGACGCCAACTGGAGAAGGTGAGTGCTTCGGAATCACACTGGGGCCCCCTAATTTGGTGTGAATACCTACCTAACCATTTACCAGAACCCTCGTTCATATCCTTACCCAGTTTTATTTTAGAGCTGCCATTAAAATCCTCATTAATTTATTTGATATTTATGTTTAAAAGCTTAGAAATTAGCTGAATTGGTAGCTTTACTCTGTTATAGTTAATTATAAACAGAAATTGTATCTACTTCTCTATGGTTAATAATTGAATATTAATCTTATGTTACTCAAAAGCAAGTTGAGGTATAGTGCCAACATGAATGAAACTCATTTCTCCCTTCAAGAGAAGTAGAAGTGCATTATGACAAACAGCCTGGCAAGAACTCAATATATTTTTTCTGTGGAAGATGAATCTACCATCCCAGGCAAGAGGGATCGGGAAGTGGCTAAAGGAGCAAAGCTTTTCTCAACTTTCCAAACACAAAGTCATAGAGAGACTCAAAGAGAAGCTTGCCAAGCCTGAGGGATTCTGAGACAAAAAAGACAACTCATCATTTTTAAGAGTCTTCTATAATCTGGGTGCTTTATATATAATATTCAGGTAATATTACAAGTCTCAGCATTTTCCATGTTACGGATGAAGACCCTGAGTCCTGGTGAGGCCACCAAGAAGTTACAGGGCTGCTCTTTAACAGCTGGATGTCCCACCCAGCCCTGTCTCGACTGAAGCCCAGTATTTTCTCCTATAACACCTGCCTTCTGAATTGGTACAGACATGTATGGGCTAAGAAGAGAAACCAATGGACATGCGAGGAGACGTCTAAAAACAAGCACTTTACATTCCAAGAAATCTGCTGTTCCTTCTTTACCTCCAAATTGGTGGGAGGTTTTTAATGGGAGGAACATTATTAAAATAATTACATAATGTAGTTACATAATAGCATTATATAATCATGTAGTAGTTATAAAATTATTTTTATCAAAGTTATGAGTACAATGTAATAAGCTGAGTGGTGTTAAAGATTGCATAATCAGAAATAGTGGTTCCCACTGTTTTGCACAATTGCTTTCACCCTTCTCCACCCCCTAGTCCCACTGCCAGAAAAGTCTCCTTTCAACCAAAACATTGCTTCTTGTGTTTGCCTTGTGCTATATTTGAATTGCTATTTTTTATGTCAGTTTCCTGTATCTTTTGACTTCATATCATGGTAAATGGATATTTAACTCATTTATGCCACTGAAAATTTCTCATCCAATTAATTAACCCCCAGTGTGGTTATATCCTAGTTTTGTTTATTAAATTAATAGATAATATCCATTTGTCATGATTAAGTAATACTTAACTCTGCACTATGCTATACTAAGATTACGTTTTCCTTTTGCCCAACTTTTTATGTTTCCTAAAATTAATAATTGCATTGTTTTTTTTTTAAGATTTATTTATTTGTGCATACAGAACTGGGGTACAGGCCAGAAGTGCAGGGGCTTGGTGAGAGGATTCATCAGAGACAGAGCAGTTAGCAGAACAGGCAGATTGACTGAAAGACACTGCTGAGGGGAGCAATGGGCAGGTCAGGAGAGGTCTGCTGCACCTTGTGGATCGCCTCTGGGGCCGGAGATCAAACTCGCACTGTGGCTAGTGACTGTGGCTAGTTTTCAGGCTGTGCTTTAACCCACTGTGCCACCAGGGAGGGCCAAGCGTTAGCTTTTTTTATTTGCTTGGTTTTCTGTCATTTTCTCTAAATGCTCTGACAGAAATGTCAAACACCATTCAGTGTTATTTTCCAAATGTTTGAATTCTTCAGAAATCTGCCATATCCATGTCATCCTCCCCCACCCCCCCATTCCCCACCCCGGTCCTATGACAGCCATCACCTACACTGTCTGCTTTCTAGCCCTCTACAAAGCTGTTGGAACATCTCTTTTCATGATACTTTTGTGGTAGATCCAGGAAACAAAGTCTTATTGCATACAGTGTTATGGTTCACTTTTGTATTTATTTGTTTATTTATTGCCTCTTCAGTGTTGAATGACCTCCTTATTTGTGAAGAATGAATCTTTATGACAGGCAAAGCACTCAAAACTGAAAAGTGTCATTTTCCCAGCCTCTCCTGCAGCCATTGTTTAGACTTGAGACTAAGGCTATGCTAATCAGATGAGTCCTCCTTGTACTTGGAACTAGGACCTGGAAAGCCAAAGAAATGAGGGCTTTGAGGAATTCTGGAAGGATGATAATAACTAGGACATTTACATTCCTGGTACAAGTGTCCAGGGCTCTCTGGGCCAGTGGGCAGTCTGCACTGGTTATGTCTTGGTTCCTGCAGCAGTGTTGACTGTTCTGAGGTGTAATTTTGAGTGTTGTCACTAGCTGCATAGCCCCGAACTTGATTCACGAGCCTTTCTACTATAATTCTCAGAGGAGAGGCAGGGAAGTACCTTTTTAGTTAGTTATATTGCTGCTTCACATGCATGTTTATTTTCTCTCCCTAAGGACAAGGGCGAGATTGGATCTCAGCAATTAATCTTTATCACAGTTATCTTGTTTTTAATTTTCAAGAACTCTTAGTTGTAATAGGATTTCTCTTTACTCATTTTTAATTTGAATATAATTTCATTCTTATTTTATGGGTACAAGGGCTTATCTTACCTGTCTGGTAATGTTACATTCTCCCTTTAAAGTCCTTTTCTCTGCCTTTTAACTGATGTGTTTCTTAAGAAACTAAGATTCTTTCTCTTTGGTTTGATCTCATGCTCTGTTTTATATTGTAGGCTTTAATAAATGTGGATCTTTTTGAGTTCTCCTCATGCTTAGGTGAAGTACTAAAAAATTACTTCAACAAGCTGTGTATCTGGCAGGGCTTGCTGGTTGGGCACCTCACTATATAATGATTAGGAAGTAAGCTGCCTTCTTCATTGTAGGACCCCCACTTGTGACTATCCTGAGGTTTCATTCTGGAGTTGTTCAATTCTCCCAGAAGAGTCCTTTGTTTGCTTGCCTGGGGGACACCCAGATGGCTGCTGGCTTTAGGGGAGCCGATTGTGATAAAGGAGTTGGGAGGGGGATCAGTGCTCAGGATATAGACTGTCATTTGATTTACTGCCTTTAACTCCATATCTCCATTCCTGACTGTGCCTGGTTCCCCAGGTCTGGACATTTACTGGTTTGATTTCTTCAGAGGAAACCTTCCTCTGAATTCAAAGGAGAGAATTGGACAAGAGAAGGAGTTGTTACCTAGCTTCATAGGCAGAAAAGATCTTGGTGTTCAGCTGCTTCATGTACACTCTTGCATCCAATGCCCTATGCTTTATCGACTTCTCAGGGGCTTGGTGCTGCCTGGTCCTGAACTCTGCTAGGGTCTACTGTGGTGCATTGGCTTCTCCTGGGCAGCACCCTCTCTGTAGGCCGTAGAGTTCACCCTCCTCTGCTCTGCTTAGTTTATTACCACTCCTCTGTCACCTTTCCATAGTCCAAGATTTATATTTATCTTATCTTTCCTCTCTTATTCTCCTGTATTTGTGGGTTTATAGCTATTTAATTCCTTTTCTGCCTTCTCAGTGAGTTTTTAGGAAAAACATGTAGTCAGCAATGTTTAGTCAATGAAGTGGTCACTACCCAGTTGTCCCATCTTAGAAATGCCATAGTTGTTGATCATGCTGCCTCTCTCCTCTCTCTTTGGTGTACGGACACTGATCCCCTGGCACCTGGACTCTTGATAAAGCTCCGCCTAGTCTGTGGCTTCCAGATTCTCGCATATCCTGTTCCTCCTCATTACTTACTCAGTGACTTAACCTAAGAGATTAGATTGGTGAGTCTTTCCAATCCAAGACTCTATCATGTCTCTCTTACTATAAAACCTCAGCTGGAATCTGATGCCTTCCGTCTGAAGTCCAAGAGCCTGGATGTGACGTGCAGCGCTCTTCACAAACCTGCTCTGAGCTTGCTTCCTGGCCACTTTCTCATAACAACCATTGGAATTCATGTCCCAGCTACCCACAAACTAGAGCCCCTAAACATATCAGGTTCTTGATTCTTTTTGCCTTTGCACTTGCTATTCTGCCTTCTCAATTTCTTTTTAAAGATTTATTTATTTATGCTTACAGCACTGGGGTACAGGCCAGAGGTGTGGTGAGTGAGAGGGTTCACTAGAGACAGAGTGGGGAACAGAACAGGCAGATTGACACTGCTGAGGGTCAGGAGAGGTCTGCCACACCATGTGGGTCACTCTCTGGCAGGGGATTGAACTCGTGCTGCAGTGGCTTTGGAAAGCTTCATAATGGTGTGCTTTAACCCATCACACCACCAGGGAGAGCCTTCGAATGGTTTTAATTACACTTCCTCCATCTGGTAAACTCTTACTTAGAGTTGAAAATCCATCTGACTTTTCAGACCCCTAAGGAGGATGCCCTGATTTACTCTATATAACCTTATCATTTGATTCACACTAGTACTATTACTTATCACACTGTTTTATATCTTTAGATCACATTTATTTACACATTTATCTTCAGGCCTATTCATCTATTTGTCTTAAAGAAAAGGAATATTCATTTCATTACTTTGACTCTGGACTGTGAGATTCCTTTGGTCACAAACTATGACCTTTCACCTTGTTTTCATTGCAGTATTTTCACACAGTTCATGGCAGATAGCAGACAGTCAATGAAGGCTACTTAAATTGATGAACAATTGAATAAAGAATGGCTAAAAGTCAAAACAGCAATCACCTAATCTGTGACAGGTAAAATAATAAAAAATCACTATTGAATAAATAATATTGAGAGCAAATTGATGAAAAACATTAACTTGAGGCTGTATTTTATATCCTATAAAGTCACAAATTCCTTATTTATAACAGCTGTGTGAGAGAGATGTCGAACTACTGAAGGCATCATCAAAGGCAAAAAGAATCTGATTAAATAGAAATAAAAAACATTTGCACAACACAGTGTCACAGAAGGAAACAATTATTCTGAAAAACAGAACTGTTAAAAACTTACCTTCTGAAACATATTATTTTTGAAAACAAGAGGGTCAAAATCTGGAGTCTGCTAAAGAGAAATCAAGAGTTGAACATGCAGTTATGCTTGAAAAATCAGTGATGCCCAGACCCACTCATCATCCATTCAACAGACCAACTTCATTGTTAAGCGTTAACTATTGTTAGAGCTAAAAGTAGCCAGCAGTTTTGAGCCTGTCCCCCGTGTGCCCAGTACTGCACATGGATTAGCTGATATAAATTCAGAGTTAAGTGTTCTGTCCTTTTCACAGACAATACTCAGGATAGGAGATAGTCAGAATCTGAATCCAGATCTTGTCTTGTTTTAGAACCTATGTTCTAGCATCTACACAAAGTATATGTTCCTTCTTATATCTACGATGAAGTAGACCATGGTGCTGATTAAATGAACATAAATTAAACCACTTTAAGACACTGCGCATGTATTAAGCTGTCCAAACTTTACATTAAAAATGAGCCCATGGTAACCGGTAGGTGTACTCATTTCTTCTGGATTTGTTGATTAAAGCTTTTCATCAAATTTGGGAGGTTTTTGGCCATTATTTCTTTAAATATATAGTTTTAACTCTTTTCTTTCTCTCCCAGACTGATAAAACTCCTGTTGCACATTTGTTTGCTCACTTGACATTGTCTCTCAGATCTCGACCCTTGCTTCTTTTATCGCCTACCCTTTCCCGTCTTTTAGTTTCTGTTGACTTCTTTGATCTTCTCTTGATGTATCTTTCCATTGTACTAGATTCTATTAATCTATCTTCAAGTTCACTCATTTTTTTCCTTCTGCTCTCTTAGATCTACTGTTAAGTCCTTCAAGTAAATTTTTCATTTTTGTTATTGTCCTTTTTAACTGAAGAATTTTCACTTTTTTATAGTTTCTTGTCCATATTCTCTACTTTAAAAGTCATTGCTATCACAGTTTTCCTAAGTCATGACCTTGTACTTTTTTTTAATTCTTTGAACATAATTATAATAGCTGCTTTGAAGTTTTTGTTTGCTAAGGCCAATATGTGGGCCACTCAGTCAGTTTATTTTGATTACTTTTATCCCATGCGCATGGGTAACAGTTTCCTGTTTCTTTACATGTCATAATTTTTGGTTGGAAACTGGACAATCTAAATAATATAATGTAGCAGCTCTTGGTTTTGATGTATATTTCTGAGTTTTCTTTAACTAAATTTCTTGCATTGAAACTGAAACCGGTCTCATCTCAGGTGTGTGGCCTCTGGTGTCTTCACTCATTTTTTCATCTTTGTTTTTAATTGTTGCCCAGCTTCCTCGGGGTTGCTCCTGTATCTACACAGAGGCTCCTATCCTCTGCCAGTGGGTGCATATGTGTGTTGGCAAACAGTCTAAATTGCATCCAATGTCAGTCTCCCCTGGCTTTTAGATTCTGCCAGTATTTCTTGGGTCTTCCAAGGCAAGAGCATAGTTTTTCCAGTCCCCAAGGGAAATATGGGAACCATTGTCCTATGACGTTCTCCTTTATGGAATATGCCATTAAATTTTTGGCTGGTCTACTGCTCACCCTAATTGGGTCTGCAGCCTCAGGCTAGCAAAGCTGAGGATTCGCCTCACTGAATTTCCAACTATGCTAACCACATTTAGCTTATACAACCTCAACCCACAAGTTTTCCCTTTTCTGGAAGCAATTGTTAATTTTTGATGAGCTCCATGTTGGTAAGAACTGTGACATCCCAGGCAAGAAAGTCAGACTCACTGAAGAACCCTAGCTATTTTTTGAAAAACAAACAAACAAAAACCCACCAAAAGCCACTTCTCAATTTGTTGTCTCCATTTGGAATATTTCTAGAGTCCTGAGTGGTTGTTTTCAATTAGTTTGTTTAGTTGTATGTTTATTTCTTATGGAAAGAATTCTCTACTTCTTTACATTGCCTTAACTGAAAGTCCCTCTGGCTCATTCCTGCTGAAGAATGATCTTTCAAGATGTAGCAAAACAATAGGAGATGAATATTTAAATATATAAAATATAATTACCCATATTTAATACATTTATTTGAGGGAAATGAATATCAAGGAAACCACTCCAAGCCAAACAACCATAAAATGTATCCATGGTTCTTGTAGCACAAAGAGAAATACTGAAGCTCTCAAAGATCTTAGAGCAGAAGTGGCGCTGATCACTTCAGTGCATATTCTGGGTGAGAACTTAGCCACAGAGTAATATCAAACTGCAAAAAAGGCTGGGAAGTGTCCACTGCTCTCTATTACAGAAGCCTACAATAAATCAGACGAAAGTCCCTTGGCCTAGGAGCAGTTGAAGGTAGAAAGGAGTGGCCACTTGCAGAATATGTTTTCACAGTATAATCAACAGGAATGGCTGATAGAACTGATGTAGGTAATGAGCAGACCCAGTAGTCACTCTTGGGAATATCACATGTCCTGTTCCCCTTCTATCCACCTTTGGAAAAGAGGATAACAGGGCTGCACTGATGCGTAGTGGGGCTCAGAGGACCCATGACCTCAGGTCAAGTGTCCACTCTGCTGCTCTCTTTTCTCTTTCAAACCCTCCACGGGTGGGGGGTGTCATAATACTTTTCTTCCCTCTCTGGGACCAAGTGCTAGCATTTTTCCTTTCACTTGAGTTACAACATTGGAGAAGCGGAGCTTATAGATATTTACTTGTAAAAGTAGAAGAGAGTTTGGTTATTAACTGGTATCTAAGGAGTTGGCTTATTTATTTTTTTAGATTTTCTCCTGAAGTCCGGGCTCCGGGAACAGAATGCCCAGAGGCGACCAGGTTCTTTCTACTCCCGCGTGTGTAACCCCTGGATCTCCCTACTGGGAGTGAGTAACTTCATCTTGATCTCAATTTTCCTTAAGACATAATTCAGGAGAATACATGTGTGCTATCAGAATGGGGAGAGGAGGAAAGAGAAAGGGCCTTAATTAGGAGCAGTGCAATGTGTTTGTTGTATTAGAATTTAAATGAGGCTGCATATAACAAGGTTACATTTAATAAACCACTTGTTTTAATTAAGGACTTATTCTAAAAATAATCATTTCTTGTATCCTGTGGGTTACTAAATTCCTAGGTACAGCAAATTAACGTAAACTAACTCTAATTTGTTTCTTATGGGGGAGGAAAAAGAACCTATGATATATATCTAGTTACTAGTAGTTTTGATCAATGTATGCATTCTGGAGGGTATCTTCTTCAATATCTTCTTAAGTGAGATATTTAAAATTATGAGAGAACTTCAATCATTCAGACTTCTATAGTAATCAGAGGTTGATGAGAGGGACTATTGTTTCTTTTTTTTTTTCAAAGATTTATTTATTTATGCATACAGAACTGGGGTACAGGCCAGAGATGTGGAGGGTGAGAGGATTCACCAGAGACAGAGTGGGGAGCAGAACAGGCAGATCGACAAAGTACACTGCTGAGGGGAGCAGCGGGTGGGTCAGGAGAGGTCAGCCGCGCCATGTGGTCACCTCCGGGGCAGGTGGGAATTGAACTCATGCTGAAGTGGCTTTAGCTTCTCAGTGCTGTGCTTTAACCCGCTGCGCCACCAGGGAGGGCCGGGAGACTGTTGTTTCTTAAAGCTCACACGCCTTGTTTGTCATGTGGAAACCACTAAGCAACTTTTCCTTCTTACCCTATTCTCACAGGCTGCTGGGTCTCTTGTCATCATGTTTGTGATCCAGTGGGTCTATGCCCTGGTTAGCATGGGCGTTGCTGTCATGGTATATTTCTACATTGGCCAGACTAGTCCGGGGCTTCACCTTGGTAAGTAGCAGACCTATTTTGCCACCATACTGCCTTCTCTTAGTATTTGTTGAAAACAAAACATGTTTGATCACTCATTAAATGCTAACACTCACTTTGATGTCATAGCTAATAGGCCTGTAACAGAGATAAAATAGAATTTTTAAATATTCATGTGTCCCCAAAATGAAGGAAAAGATGAAGGAAATATGGGACTAACAAAAACAAACAGCAAGGTGGTTTATTTAAACCTAACTATGAGTAATAACACTAAATATAAGTGACCTACACACTCTTAATTAAATGGTAGAGATTGTCAGATTGAGTGAAGGAGCATGTTATAACTATATACTACCTACAAAAAACCTATTATAAATATAAAGACAAAAAAATTAAAAAGTAAAAGTATGAGAAAAGATACATCATCCAAACATGAATCAAGACAAAGCTGAAGTTATTATATTAAAATTACTCAAATAATTTTCCAAAAAGGTACAAAGGAAACTTAGTGGAGAAAACAGTCTTTTCAGCAAATGATACTGGAACAATCGGTACAACTTTTAGTTATACATCATACAGTGTAAAAATAACTCAGAATGATTCTAGAACTAATGTAAAAGCTAAAAAACATAAGACTTCCAGAGCAAAATAGAAGATAAAACTTTTATGACAGTGTTAGGCAAAGATTTCTTATATACAATATCAAAAGCAGGAAAAATATAGATAAAATGAACTTAATCATAACTAAAGATGTTGCTCTCCCAAACACAATGCTAAAAGATGCACAAAGGTAGCTATAGACTGTTAGAAAATATTGGCAGATTATTTCTAATGAAGGTCTTGTATCTAAAAACTCCCCGAACTCAATAATTAAGGAAGCAATAAAAATGAGCAAAAATTTTAAGTATATTTCACAAAAGAACATGTATGGATAGCAAATAAGAACATGAAAAGATGTTCAACATGATTAATTGCAAAAATAAATTAAAACCATTACACTTTTATTAGAGAGATTAAAAATGCAGTCATGTATTTTTAATTACTGGGTCATTATTGGGGTTTTAATAGAACGGGAATGAGTAGGTAGCTAAGTAAGTTTAGGGTTAGACAGTTTGAATAATTTCAGCTATTATATACTGCAGGGGAGATATGTATAATAATAAAATCATTTTATAAAAAGTTTGACTGTTTATTAAAAAGTAATACATGTCTGCTATATGAATTAGTTACTGTACTCTTGAGTATTTACCAACAGAATTGAAAGTATATAATCATACAAAAACCTGTACATGAATATTTATCACAGCATAATTTATAATTGCAGAAATCTAGAAACAGGGCCTACCTGGTGGTTCAAGGGATTAAATGTCGGCACTATGAAGCTATAGGCAGCTACTGCAGCACGAGTTCGATCCCCAGCCAGGGTGGTGACCCACATGGCACAGCAGACCTCTCCTGTCTCAACCAATGCTCCCCTCAGAAGTGTGTTTCTGTCAGTCAGCCTGTTCTGCTGTCTGTCTCTGTCTCTGGTGAATCCTCTCATTCCTCCAACCTCTAGCCTACATCCCAGCTCTTGCATACATAAATAATTAAAAAAAAAAAATCTAGGAAGAACACAAAGGTAAATTAACAGTGTTTCTATAAAGATAATGTAATATTGCTAAATAATGGAATGCTATTCAGCAATCAAAAGAATGACCCATTGATACATGCAATAGGGATAAGTCTCAAAGTAATTATGCTAAGTTAAAGAAACTATACAAAAATAGTATATATCACTTCTCATGTATATAATTATTGAAAATGCAACCTATTCTATAATGACAACTGATCAATGGTTGCCTCTGCAGGGGGTTGGGGGTGGAGATGTGTGGGAGAGAGCACTCAGCATGTGGCTTGAAGTAAGTTTTAGAGGTGACAGATGTGATTATTACCTTGTTTTTGGTGATGGTTTTAAGTGTATACCTATGTCAAATCTCGCCAAACTGTACTTTAAGTGCATGTAATTTATTTTTAAAAATATACTTGGGATTGTTTTAATCAATTATGGTAATATACACAGAATTGATTGTCACAGGGCCATATGGAGAAGGCCCTGTGTAGGTCTGGAGACAAGGGACAGAGGGACCATTATTGGGTTTTAATAGAAAGGTCATGAGTGAGGAAGGTAGGTAGCTCAGTCAGTTTAGGATTGGACAGTTTGAATAATTTCAGCAGGCTCTGGACTACAGGGATAGTCTCTAGTTGTCACTTGCCTGGCCCTGAGAGATTTAATGCAGGGGAATATTGAGTTGGTGTGTTAGTGTTTGATAAAGGAGATGGTGGGGATCTGGGCTGTAGATTACTTGGTCTATACACCAGAAGTGTGCTCACTGGGGAGGTGCTTGCTCTCTAGGAATTCGCATCGTTGGGCTTAAAACCCCAAATGCCAGAGCATCAAAAATAGAGAAAGAAAATATAGTTAATAATCTGCAGTGGTATTCCGGTTATCCTTCAATAATAAAGCTTTAAAAATGCATGCAGGGGCCATTTTCAACAAAATTCTATGGTGCCTCAACTTAAAAGAAAGTAATTGAGTTCTAAGACCTAACTAAGATTGTCTATAGCAATTGTTCAGAATTAGAAACGTCTGATGTATACTTTTAAAAGAAATGCATTTTAAACACTTTAAGTCATATTTACACTAAGAATAATGCTACTGAAAAATTAATGCTAAGAAAAGTTCCTTTTATCAGATAATTTAATGGATAGAGTATAATTTAAACTGACAGTGACTATATCAGTGATTGCTCCTGAATTTCTTACAAGTTAATTTGATCACAGGACATTTAAATATTTCCTGGAAGTTTATTCACAGTAAAGTATGATGTCAAGTTCTAGGCAAATTTACAGCTAAAATTTAGATAACTTAGAATCAGAATTATTACAAATAAATAGTTTTATGTCTATTATTTTTCTTTTGACAATAGCAAAATATATTAGGGACTTTTCTCTTTCCAGTGACAGATATTAGTACAAATCTTAAATTTGTCCTTCCTTGAACCATAAGGACCAAATCAGATTGAGTAAATACATGTTTTCAACTACATACTGTTGACATCAGTCAAGATTCTAAATATTTATATGGTATGATTTATATAGTATATATTGAGTGAGTGAGCATATCTAATTGGAAAAGTATTTCATAAGATTTTATAAATTACATTTGATTTGGTTTCCCGAAGTCTTATATAGTTTATTATGTTAATTTTTTATTATTATGTTAATTTTTTAACCAGTGCCAAAGGAGGTGTTTAAAAAAAAGTTGATAAGCCCTATTCTAATCAGTGTGTCTGATGTCAGATTATTTGGCCAGTATCATCAACAATCTTATTTCGGTTGTAGATTCTACATGCTGAGCTATTTAATTTGTTTATTTTTTAAAGATTCATTTATTTATAATAATAATAATAAACAACTATCTACCAGAGACATTTTATGGGGGTGGAGTGGGGAATGGGATCAAAAATGGTGGGGGGAGGGACATGCACTAGACTATGGTGATGGCACATGGGTGATTTGGTGATGGAAGCCCATGGGGATTACAACTGAGATGGAGAAAGGCACAAAATTATGTAAAAATAAACTTATATTATTTTTTAGAAAAGATTTATTTATTTATCTATACAAAAGCTGGGGTGTAGACCAGAGGTGCAGGGAGGTGAGAGGACTCACCAGAGACAGAGGGGAGCAGAATAGGTAGACTGACAGAAATACACTGCTGCAGGGAGCAGCGGGTGGGTCTGGAGAGGTCTGCCGTGCCATGTGGGTCAGCTCCCTGGCCAGAGATCAAACTTGTGCTCTAGTGGCTGCCGACAGCCTCACAGTACTGAGACGTAACCCCTTGTGCCACCAGGGAGACCTGCAGTTTGATTTATTTAGCATCTGTTGAAAACTTTCTAAGGGCCAGATTCTGGGATGTTGAACTATGAATGTCACAAGAAAAAAAAAGATTTCCTATTTGCAAAAGTGAATGGTCTAGTGGATTTTATAACTGTACTCAGCACATATCAGTCTGAATCCAAGAAGAAAATATCAACATTTAAAAAATTTCCATGACTAAAGTTAGCAAGTCCTCTGCTTCCTTCTCTATAACATCTTATTCAGTTTTTTTATTGTGATATCTCAGGTTAGAAACAGCCTTTGAAAAGTACCTATGCGTACAAATCCTTACAGGCTGCTGTCAGGGAGTAGTGCAATGAATGTTGTTCACTTGGACTGAAAAAGGAAAAAAAAAAGTTCCAATTTTGTGTTTATCAGGGGTATATATTCAGCTTACTAAAACTGGGGTTTTAGATACGTATGTAGAAGCTTCATAAGTGTTTATGTGTATGTCATCCCTGCAGGATCAGCCTCTAACTTCAGCTTTTTCAGGTGGATGAGGTCACTTCTGATTCCCTCCTGCAGGTATGTGCTAATCTGAGGCCAGTAAGGGGCCGCGGGGTGCCCCATGACCTGGGAATGCTAAGGGAGAGCCCCAGTCCTAGCTGGGCTTGGAACTGTGATGTGAGGACCTGTCAGGTGAGAGTCAGGTTCTGCTCTTCATTGTGTTCCTCCATCCAACCTCCCAGCCTCAGCTCATCAGATGCTTTCTCTGGCTTATGCACGTTTTCCTGCTTGTCCTCAGGAGTGTGAGCAAGAGGCTTTCTTTAGAATCTGATGGTGGTGTGATGAGTCAAGAGAACTAGTCTTACTGAGCTCTTATTCCAAGACACATCAATACATAATCATATACAAGATTAACATGTAAAGGAATTGAATTCTTTCAATTCAAGTCAGTGGTAATGGACAAGACTGTATTGGCCTAAGGGCAGAGCTAAGTACAGAAATAGAGAGGAGATCACGGAGCTGGCACCTCCACATTGAGATCCACAGGGCAAGGGAAGAACAAACTCCTCTGAGAAATGGGACAAGACCTCTTTGGGAAGGTATGAATCCATGAGTGCCCTCATGCCTTTCCTTCACCTCACCTGATGCTGATGTGTCTTCACCTTTGAAAGCCTCAGGAGACTCTGAGAAACTATTTCCCTCCCTTTTTAATATCAGTGAAGAGCCAGAGCTGCAGGCTAAAGACTTAGGCAGAATACAGCCATGCATTTCACTTCCTTGGCTTGGTTTTGAAACTCTAGACGTCTGGGTTGCACTTGCCAGTATTTCCACCTTCCATGCCTAAATGTTGTTCATGGATAATGATACCCTTTCCCATTGATCCCAGATGTAAGTGCAGAACTGCCCTCCACTCCTGCCCCCATTTTATTTATTGTAGTAACATACACATAACATAAAATGTACCATCTTAACCATGTTCAGTCTCATTGTTTTTTAATGCTGTTATGCAACCACGTGTATCCATAATTCTTCCATCTTGCAAACCTGAAACTATTGCACACTGTACATTAATGCCCCATCCTCCCTCCCAAGAATTCTTTTTAAGACAACTCTTTAGCACAACCAACCCATTTGAGTTGGCATTAGAAATGAAAGCTTGGTGCTAGAGCCTGGGAGACCAGCAGGGGAGGGCCTTAGGAGGGTGGTCTGCAGGGAGAACTCCTTGTTGTCTGCCTGGAAGCTGGGCTGACTGTGTGTGGAGTTGTGGAAAACTTCTCTTCCTATCTGAGGCTCAAAGTCAGTGACTCAGGTCACAGCACACAATTGCTGATCTCTTTTTCCTACCACCTCTTTCTGAGGGCTAGTTGAGTTTAAATGGAAATAGATTCTGAATAGAAGGTGCTGACAGACTCTGGAACTATGAGTAGTGTTTGATGCAGGCATTTGGCCTTATCTAATTTACCGGAATATTTTTAGGTATTTCTGGTTTCAAAATCTACAAATGGCCATGGGAGGTCAGTATTCCTTATTTTACTGTCTGAATTCCTGGCATTTCACCTGTGAGGTCACTACAGTACTATGTGAGAGAAGAATGTATTAGGAAGAGATTATTCTTAGAAAAGGATAGTACTTTGGTTGAAATAGAACTCAGTCCATGCTATTCATAGTTCTGTGAGCTTGTGAAGCAATCAGCAGAGGTCTCAGCTAAGTCAACACCAAACTTCCTGCCCTCACCATGGCTACTGAACAATATTTTTTGGTGGTTATTCACACAAAATATTGTGAGAAGACCAAGAAATGGCAATTCAGTTAAAAGTAGAAGTTGATTGCTGTGTTTCCTATTTTTTAGTTTTGAGGGCTTTTTCACAACTAGAGCCCCAGGAGTTCTTCAAAACTAGAAAAGGATATTGTAGAAATGTGTTTGGGCAAAGACATGTGACTGTTACCTCTTCGGTCACACCTCTACTTCTCAGAACATTGTGAAGCCTCACCTTGAGAAGGCTTTCTTTCCTGAAATCCTAGCAACTACCCAGCTAAGCATTCTTGGGTCCCTGTAGGCTAGGAAGTAAAGTATTTTATTTTCCTGAATTTAGGAGAATATCATGGTTTCACCTAAAGAAAAATGCACTGGTGAAAACAGTTATGTATGTTGACTCATACAGCATTTTTGTCACTTTCTAACCTTACTTTTTAAAGATTGAACCTTTAGAGAAGTTAATTCATTTCTGAGAAAACCTCAAGTTGATCTCATTTAGACATGCTCTATAAAGTGACTGCAAGGTCTTAGTCAAGTGATTTGAACTTCAGCAACTGTACATTTGGCCAGAGTCAGTTGAAACTTCCTGCTTAAGTTCCACACATTTCTAACATCAGCTTTCCCCTTCTTTAAAAAGCAACTATCCAACGTGTATCTTATTTAAATAATTGAAACTTGTCAAGCAGATGTGTCTTTGAGAGTAAAATTCTTAAGAGGAAATCTATATTAGGTTATGATTGAAGGACCTAAAATTGATGGTGGAACTGGAAAGGATTTGGGAAGATAAGAAGAGGTAAAGGAGGTGAAGAGATTTTGACTAAGACTGTGACTGGGCCTTCTGCAGATTCCCTGAAAGCCATGTCTACTCTTTCCTTCCATCCTCTGCCTCTAGCACTTACCTCATGCATCCCTAACATATTTCTTTAATAGTTTAGTCCAGCTTGAGCTGGTAATGGAGTCTATGTGGGGGCTGGTTCTTTGTCTTCAAAACAGCTTCATGTCAAAAGCCTTTGCAGTTCACCTCACAGCTGCTTGCACTGAGGACCGTAGTGTTGGATAGCACTCCTGAAGTTTTCTTTGCATTGAACCAAAGAGAGGCTTTCTCTGTACTCTTTTCATTTTACAGCTCTTCTATTTAATCATTTCATTTAACAAAAAAGCAAACAAGAAATTGGAGAACCTCATATAACACCACTTGCTCAGTTATCTTTGACACTCAGTTATCTTTGTACAATGTTCTGCATTTCTACTAAAGAAAAGTAAATCTCCTTATTTTAATACTTATTATTTATCATACTTTGGCCTATACACTATTGTGCATACAGCATTCAAAAGTTATGTTATTAAAACACATATAAATAACAAGCACAAAAGAATTAGTAGAATGACACGTGTGCAAATAATTTCTCTATCCAGAGAAGGCTCTTCTCCACTGATCAGCCCTCACTTCTTGCTTCTGATCATCTTCTATGTTTCTCTCACCAAAGGAGCTTGCGATCCCCCCAAGAACAGATCATTTTGGCACCATCGCTGGCTAGGGTTGACATGGAGATGACTCAGCTCACCCAGGAAAACACAGACTTCGCTACTCGGGATCGCTACCATGGCTCTTCCCTTGTGAGTCGGGAACAGCTGATGCCTCGATACTAGAGTACTGTGTCCTCAGTACTGAGGAGCCCTGGGCCCCTCCTGCCTTGTACTCTTGGTCTAATGCCCAGTGGACACAAAGCCTAGAGTCCTTGTGGAACTGGTTCTTGCCGATCAGAAACTCAAGACCTGTCTTCACACCATCATTTGAACTATGGAAATCTTCAGTCTGGTCTGGAACACCAAGTCTAGTGAGGGCAACTGTTGGCCTGGCAGTGGCCTTCACCACATGTACCCCATTTGAGGAACTCCCCATGGATGCCTGGCCTGCAGACATGGAGAATGAGGCTGGATTGTTCTGAGAGCCACAATGAATGTTTAAGTTTTTTTAAAAATAAATATTCACATGATTCCACCCCAAAGTATAATTTTATATCTGTAGTAATAAGTGGAAAATATCCCCTCCCCTCCTTTTTCCCCATCTGTTGAGTTTGCATCTCCTGCCCCAGAGGTAACCATCATTCCCATATTCTCCCAGTTCTTTATGAACACACAAGCGAGTGGTGGTGTGGGTTGTTATTACTCCCTTTTCTTGCACAGCAGATTGCATATTATACATGCGTTCTGCACCTTGATTTCCCCTTACCAATTTGTCTTGGAGAGATTTCAGCATCAATGCATATATATGTTTCCTCATCTTTCATTGTATAGTGTGCTGATTCATTTCATCAGTTCCACCATGATGGAATTTGGATTACTTCCAATCTTTTGCTATGACAGTCAGCTTTGCAGTGGATTATCTTGTACATATGTACAAGCATAAAGTGTGTCTGCTGATAAATTTCCACAAGTGGAATTGCAAGATCAAAGGTACATGCATCTGTAAGCTATTACTGTTTAGTGAAGTTCTTTTTAATTGAAAAATTAAATTGCCATGATTTCCCTCCTGATGACTCATGTTCCCTAAAGAACTTGTGGTCCCCAGTTCTCCAAGCACCTTTGCAGCTGTTTTGCATTCTGAGTATCTAAGGAATAGCACTGTTTTGTATGAGCTCAGTGTAGAATACATGGTGGGTGTCCAGTCGGGGGCTGTGTAAGGGGCTTCCTTTGGATAATATCAGCCCCTGGGCCACAGGCAGCGTCTCACCACCAAACCACAGGGAAGTACTAGTACTGACCTCTTTCTCCAAAGTCACTGTGCTAGGAATCACCTGGGATGTTTGTCAAAAGTGAAGCTTTCTGCATCTCATTCATGACTTTGTTGTTCAGTAAATTTGGGGAGAGTCCTAGACTTTACATTTCAAATGAGCATCTCTGGTGATTCAATGCAGGGATTCTCAGACCATGTTTTGAGAAATGCTGACTTGCTGAATACACTGGGTTTGAAGGAAGTGGGGGTGGGAAAGTGGTGATGTTCCGATTAGATCTTGACATTCTCTCCTAACAGAGATTGAGTTATGATTGTTGTTCACAGCAGATCTAGTTTATGATTGCTGTTTGGACATTGTCTTGGTTAAGCACCAGACTTCTGAACATCATTAGAACCAATTTAAAGAAGCAAGCTTTGACTTACCAATAATCATGTGGGAAATAGAAGCACTATAAACGGATGGACTGTATTCAGGAATGGCTGAGGTGGCGATCAAGGATGGCCCGTTTTAAGGAGAAGCTGCACTAGTTCCTGTGCTGTGATGATTATACAAGTGGAGTGGCTTAGAACAGCAGAAGTTGACTCTCATAATTCTGGAAGTCAGAAATCTGAAACAGGCATCACTGAGTTGAAGTCAAGGTGTTAGCAGTCAGACTCCTCCCCGAGGCTCTCACGAAGAATTCCAGCTTCTGGTGACTGCTGGTGTCCTTGACTTGTGGCTGCATCACTCTGTCTTCAAGGCCAATGTAGTCAAAGCTCTGCTCCATTCATCACGTTGCACTCTCCACTGTGGATGTGAAGTCAACCTCTACTCTTATAAGGATACATAGGATCACATTTAGAGTGCACTCAGAAAATCCAGGACAATCTCCCATCTCAAGAGCCTTAGTCACACCTGCACAGGTCTTGCAAAGTGAGGAAGCATTTACAGATTACAAGGATCTGTATATAGATAGCTTTGGGGCACCATTTTTCAGCTTGCCACAGAAACCTTTGCTAATTCATAACTTTGCTCTTTTGAGTTCTGCATAAGCTGAAAAAAAAAAAGCCCTCTGAAAGTAAATGGTTTTGAATTTGAAAACCATATACAGCAGAAGGACCCAGGGTGAGCACATGGTTAGTTTGATGGAAAAGAGTAAGAGAACAATGAAGCATTCTACTCAGTGTTGGGGATACTTAAGGGAATAGCACAGTCTGGTGTGGGAGGGAGATGCTAAATAGGTTGAACCTCTAAGTAAGTTTTAAAATCTAGTATATAACCAAGTCATGTTGTGTAAATAGTAATCAGTAAAGCAGTAATCAGGTCTGGGTTCTCCTTATGTGTTAGCACTTTACTGGGGAGGGCATCCAGGGAGGCAGAAATGAGAGGAGGGGAGTAACGCAGGGGAGAAGGTATGTCCTTGAGCTAGTGACCCTCTAGGAACGTGCAACTGAAGGCTTACTTTCCAGCAGCCTTCCAAGAGACTGTAGGGAAGTCTTCATCTCAAGACCCTCTTGCAGGAGGAGAGGGTCAGATTGTACTCACTGGTTCCTGTTTTCACACTCAAGGTTTAGCCCTGTGCTGCACTGGTGGCCCCTGAAATTGTGATTTGCACTTGCCTGGTGCCTGGCTAAGTTCAGCAACAAACAGCCACCCAATGGGCCTACAGCATTGTTGGGTTTGTATGCTTGGAATTGACTGCAGCCCAGCAGAATTGATTGCTCAATTCTGAGAAGGAACAAATGGGCTCAACCCCAGAGACAGACTGGGCAGAGAGAACTTGAGGTGGTATATATGAGGTGTTATATATAACCTGTATATTTGTAGAGGTCAGTAGCAAGTACAAATGCTTTCACTAGATCATTAAGAGATTACTTATTGAAGGATGTTCAAAAATGTCAGCAGTTAGGATATATGGCACTGAAATTAGCAATTCTAAAATAGCTAGAGGGTCAGACTCCTGGCCTAAAATTTTAGCAAGGAGTGCACATTCATAGGCAATAATGTCTGAATGGGTGAGGGTCAGACCAGACCTGGGACCTGAATGTCTCCCTTCAAGCTACACCATCTACTGACTCATCCATCCAGTGATCCCTCTGTTTGCCTGTTGCTACATCCTTTCACCCACCCTTCCATCCACCCTCTGACCCACTTATTCAGCTACACATCCAGCCATCAAACCGTGACTAGAGCAACCATATGGTGCCTGAGACCACCTCACTTGTATCAGGTGCCATCACCAATCTCAGAGCTTTATAATGTAAAAATAATCACAGAAGCGAACTCCTCAGTCAGCGCCCTCACTCTTTAAGGGTGAGTTTAGCTCACCCTTAAAGCATTCTTTTTTTTTTTTTAAAGATTTATTTATTTGTGCATACAGAACTGGGGTACAGACCAGAGGCTCAGGGGCAGCGAGAGGCATCACCAGAGACAGAGTGGGGAGCAGAACAGGCAGATCGACGAAGTACACTGCTGAGGGGAGCAGCGGGCGGGTCAGGAGAGGTCTGCCAGCCATGTGGGTTACCTCCGGGGCAGGCGGGAATCAAACTCATGCAGAAGTGGCTTTAGATTCTCAGTGTTGTGCTTTAACCCGCTGCGCCACCAGGGAGGGCCCCTTAAAGCATTCTTAAACTCAGGTTGGGAACCACAGTAGGGATCATTTTCTCTGCTGTCTGGAAGAGTCATGCTCACAAGTTCTCTTATCTACACAAGAAGGGGGCATTCTGCATAAGCAGTTATAACTGCATGTAGATGTTTGAGATTCTGGGTTCCATCACCCTTCCCTCTAGGTTTCTGACTGAGGGAGCGAGTATATAAGATGGGATGGACTGGAAACAGTGTCCCAGTTATACATTCATACCTGGGCAGGAGCTATAGTGGGGAATCTACCTGTGATCAGGAGGTGGAAGTAAAACCTGTCATATCTACTTGTTTGCCTCTTGAATCTGTGTACACTTCTCCCACAGACCCTTGGATGAGGAACTGGACCAAGAGAGAGAATGACCAGCTTGTCTTCTTCACCCAGTAACAGATCGGCAGAGATCTTGAGGTGATCACACATGATCTTTTAACACTGGGCCCCGCCCATCAGTGCAATGTGGCCCAAGCTCTGAATATCAGATTTCCCTGTCCCCCCAGCAGGAAGGATCAAATACAGGATGGTGAGTGGGGACATCATGTGCCCTCTGCCTCTGTCATGGCCAGAGGTGCCATGGGCAGGAGCTCCATCCTCTTCCTGGGCAGAGGACAGGGGGGAGAACTAAAAGGATCCAGTGACAGTGAGAGCAGCACCAGAAGCAGACATGGAGTCTGCATATGGTCAGAGAAGCTGTAAGCTGCTAGGACAGTAGTCAGAGAGGGCTCCCTGGAGGAGGAGATAGCCGTTCTGCATCTAAGGACTTAGCTGGGCATCCCCAGCAGAGGGAATAGTGTGATCAAATGTGTATGAGAACTTAGAAGTAGTCCAGGGCTCCAGGGGTATAAGGACATGGCATTGCAACGTAAGAAAATGCACTTCAAAGGCAAGCAGGGACTGGGTCTTGAAGGGGCTTGAATACCACTCTGTATGTTGTGAGAATGAGGAGGGAGACATCCCTCTTCCACATTTCACAGGGCATATCTCATAAGAGCCTGTTGTAAATGAAATGAGCATGATTCAAGTGCAGGAACAATCCAGCTTCAGATCTACTTCTCCTGTCACTGTCTGATCTCCTTGCTATTCCAGGGAGCTGGTGAGAACCCAGAAGGGGGCTTCTGCTCCTGATGTCAGAGCAAGTGGGAGGAGAGGCTAGGGAAGGTACCAATAGCTCTGCAGGGCCATGCCCCAGTCGGCGGAGGTTCATAGAGCCCCCACTGAATGGCGAGTACCAGCTGTACCCGCAGCTTGCAGGCGGGAGCTGTCAGGGTGGGGAACCTTGTGAAGCCAGGGGCAGA